CTTAATTTCTTATCAGTTTTCCATTACCTGTAGTTAATCTCTCTGCTTGCTCCTATCTCGGTTGTAATTCTCAAATACTTTATACACTTTTTATTTAATGAAGTTTTTCTTATTTTTCAGGGATCATTTAGAGGGTCTGCTTTTCTCCACGCCCAACAGTTTCTGGAAATGAGACCTCCATTTATGATACCACAATCTGGCATCCTGGAATTGCTGCTCCGCTTTGAAAAAGCCATCTCTCAAACTGTCTCTTTTTCAGTCTCTCCTCTTAAATCAATCCCTTTTCTTCTATTCCTCTCTGTTGTTCTTCTCTGAATTTCTTAAAATCTGTTTCTGACGTTCCGGGAAAGAGACCCTAATACAAAATGCATCTTGTAAGAGCTCAAGCTACCATCTCAACGGAGCTTCTTCCAAAGTGAGATTAGTCCTGAGCAGCAGGTAGCAGAATGTGTAAAATAAAAATTGCCAAACACCCCTTTTGCTGGCAATTATGGAATAACTTAACCGGCAGTTCCCTGGAAGTAGCCATCAGTAGGGTATTTTTGTCTAACATGAATCATTCCAGCATTGGATGATTTCCTTATCCATGTGAGTTTCTGATACTTTTCAGGGTCTCTTAAACTGCTCCTAGAATGACATCATCAGGTGGTGAATTCCAGAGTTATTCAAGCCTGATGACAAACCAGACATCCTCACTCTTGTTTCTGGAGGTTTGTGAGGTCAGCAGGGGTCATGCTGGTGGTGATAAAATCAAGACTTCTGCTTTGCAGAGGGCAATTCAGTTTACTGCCCAAGTGTGTTATAAACAGGTTGCTCTTCATAATTATTGGGTGTGTCTTCTTTCTGGTATTTTGCAATGAGGGTAAAAGGAAGCAAACATTTTTTCCTTTTTTTGGTCTTATTAATTATCCCGTAGACTTCTGTTCTGTATATTCCTTTTCCCTTCCTCCATTAATGAGAGAGTGCTATAATTATTGCCATACCCGCCCCCTCATGTTGACTTTGCCAGCATCCATTTGTTTCTACATGAACCTTCATGCAATAGGATCTTGGCTTAGCCCTTTCCTCAGGCCTCCTCAAGTTAGCTTTGAGAGCGGTGAGGCTAAGACATCCCCAGCACTGCCAACAAACATGTATTACGGAGAGAAATTTGAGTAAGAAACAAGGTCTTCTATGTCAAACAGTTATCTGGGAGCTGTGCCCAGGCCATTAATGTCTTCCATAGTACCTAGGTGTACTGCGGTGCTGGAGCACACCCTCTTCTCAGCATATGAAGAGTGGTAATTTTGCAGTACAATGACTGGGTCGCAACGATTCCTTCTTTCTCAAGAGGTCAGATTACAAAATGCAATGCAGTCAGAGGCAACACTTAAGCAGCCAGCATGGGGATGGTGTCTCCTGCTGCTCAGCATCACAGCCTTCAGCATGGAGGAGGCCTGAAGCAGGCCAGCCAGCGACACCAAGTGAGAAGTAAGATCGAGGAAGACTGCAAAAAATGCAAGAGAGGTGAGTCACCACTGTAGAGTAATCTCATCGCTACCCGTTCAGGAAAATGAAATGGACTTCAAAATGGAGCTGGGAGATGGCTATATGACAAGAGAGCAGCAGTTAATTTTGAAAAAGGGATGCTTTTGTCACTTTCCATGGCTTCCACGGAAGAAGATTTTTAGACCCGGTGAAGACCTTGCTTTGATCTTTTGCATCCATCTTGTCTCTTGCTTTGTCATTGATTCACTGGGTGTTGATCAGATCTGGGCAAATAAGCAGAGAGAAAGGGAAGGAATTTCATGTTGTGAGGGAAAAGACAGCCAAATTATTTCAGGAGAGCAGAAGGCAGCATAGGTCCTTCAGAATCAGTGGTGACAGAGCCCCGAGCGAGGGAAAAGAAGGGCTTAAGTTAAACCATCTCCTCCAGGTGCCTAATTTAGGCAGGGCGAGGCCCCCTTGGATGATTCATGTCCTGGCACAATGACTCAGAGCACTCAAAACCGAACTCTTAGATAATCCACGCAGAGAGCCAGCTACCGCCCAAGAGCAATCCCAACCATTCGAGACACTCGTCTTCTTCCTGAGAGCCCTCCAGGCATCCCAGATGTCTCTGCAGGGCAGCTCGCCACTCTCATCCGAGGAGTATGCAACCATGGGAGCCAACAAATAAGAAGCTCTGGGTGGAGGGATGTAGAATTAGGCAGCAGCATCTGTGTGGGAGATGTCACATCAGGATTTCTCAGGGAGGCTGGCAGAGAGGAGTCTCCTCTTACACAACACCCGTTGCCAAGGGAGTGCTCACTAAGGGAGCTTTCATGGTTTTAGGACCTCCCATGCCTCAGGGCAATTGCTGGTCCCACTTCCAGATATCGACCCTTTTACGTAATTTGAGATGTGGGTCAATCTTTGGCCCACAGGCATGGGTTGTGTTGCTGGACAGGAGGGAATGCAAAACCTATGGGGTCAGCTAGAAACCAGGTGAGAGGGAAGCAGGCTGGGGTCCATGCATGGAGCTTCTCCCTTAGGATTAGGACTGCCAGCTTCCAAGTGCTGTTCATAACTTCTCCATGCAACAGCCATAAGCAGACCATGAACCCCCGCCATGGCAGAAGCAGGCTCTACCATGTGCCTTCGCCCTCCTTGCCCACACTTTTTTATACCTTTCTTCACATGCCGGGTTCCCTCTCAACCCAAAATGGAGGCACCTGCCAAGTTCAGGTAGCAGAAGACATGACCTTATTTCAAACCTGGATGCCAACAGTAGGTCTGTATTCACAAGCTTAGCAGGACAAGACATATGGCAGTACCAGCCCCAGCTTGGCCTATGCCAACCAGCATTGTCCTTAAGAGATCCTAAATCTGTGGACAGCGAAGGCTGGAAACTACTTCAAATAGTTCAGTTATTACCACCTCATCATCTGGGTGTGGGACAGACTATAGCCATCCAAGGCCACAGAACAGTTCTTGGTTTTTTTAAGATGTTCAGAGGTGTGTGCCACTTGAATATCTCTAAATCTGGCAGGAGGGGAAGAAAGGTGAAGGGAGTAGTTTGGACAGAAGACTGGAGTCAGCTCAGCAGGGGGTTGGCAGCACAATAGAAACCATAAGGACAACCAAGAGTCTCATGGCTAAAGGCAGAGTATCCTTGGCCAACCTTGCATTTGTACTGCGGAGAAAAAAAAAGAGATGAGGTTCTAGCAAGAAAATAGAGGCTGGAGGCAAAACGCAGACTGAGACTGGGTGAAGAAGCTAAGGAGGACGGCTGGAAGAGAAAACAGCCAGGGAGTGTATAGCTGCGGGTCGGATATGGATGGCAGGAATGGTGGACAGGAAGAGATGGGAGCAGGTTGAGGTGAGCTGGAGTCATGAGACCACATTTCCTTTGCAAACCTGTTATAAATATCCGTCTGTTTCTGAGTGTTGTTAGTCCTCTGCTCTCAGCAAATACCCAGCAGAGTGAGCAAAGCGTGTAGCTGCTCTCCGTGTGCAATGAGTCTACAGTGAGAAAACCAGCGGGGTGAGCTGCACCCAACTAATTACCCTGGGAGATCTTTGTTGGGGTAATTCTAGTGGAGAGCTTCTCCACTAGAGAGCTCAGGAGAAAGCATTTCAACCTCCTGTGACTCACTTCAGAAGGGTTTGAGTGAGCAAAACTCTCATTCCTAGCTGAGATCATCCACAAGGAAGGTCAGTGCAGGGGAATGAGTTCCTTCAATCTTAACCCTGATAGGAAACTTGACTAGCAAACATAAAAGATTTATTTTCCAAGTCAAAAATTTGTTATAGATGAAGCTGATATTTCCAGACTCCAGTAGACACACAGTAGAAACTGTCTGTCTTTTCTGATGATTTTCCTTTAAGCACCATGCAAGACACTTTTCTCCCCTTTCAAAAAAATCCATAATGTTTGTAAAGCAATTTCCACTGGAAGATCTTAAATCGGTTTAAAGAAAACTTAATGCTCAAGATCCCTTCACACTGGGCCCTGCCTTGTCCCATCTGTTTGCCAGCTGGAGAACTCAACAGCCATTTCCTTTCAGCCAGCTGACCCAGAATAGAAATTGAAAGTATTTGTTATAAATGAAGCTGAAATTTCCAGACTCCAGTAGACACTCAGTAGAAACTTGTCTGTCTTTTCTGATGATTTTCCTCTAAGCACCATGCAAGACACTTTTCTCCCCTTTCAAAAAAATCCATAATGTTTATAAAGCAATCTCCACTTTATAAAGATCTTAAATCGGTTTAAAGAAAACTTAATGCTCAAGATCCCTTCACACTGGGCCCTGCCTTGTCCCATCTGTTTGCCAGCTGGAGAACTCAACAGCCATTTCCTTTCAGCCAGCTGACCCAGAATAGAAATTGAAAGTAAGTTAAAGAAATGGAGTCACAAAGTGACACTTCTGCCAGAAAAAAAACCCTAAAATCTGGGGAGACGCTTCCTGAAGTGAATGCAAAGCAATTGCGATATATTTCAGTGTTATTTCAATTCGACTTGCAGACTAACGCCTCTGCTTTTGTTGCTGCTAACATGGATGCATCCAGCCGCTACGCTCGATGTACCATACCACACAGTCACACAATCGAATAAAATACCACTTTATTGTGCCCAGCTTCTGTTTAACAACTATAGTACTGAAGGCTTCCTCAAAGCAAAATGATACAGGGCAGAAAATGGTATAAGGGGGAAAAATGGCATGAGAGAATGGCAGGGACAAAATGAAGGGGAAAAAAAACCGCATGGAGTTATAAAGGCCAATAGTAGGAGAAATGGTGACTAAATGGTGCCTTTCTACATGTGCAGGACTCCGCATCATGCCTTTCTCTTCCAAACACCATTTTGAGGTAGGGCTGTGCTCTTGTGTATTGTCATCAGAGCACATAAAGAGCAAAAATATTTGTTGATGGGATGTGACCTTCCAGGTGGGAGAAACAGGGCAGCATTCACGCTGTACAGATGGGAGTTTGACCCCTCGCAATGCAAGGCCAAGCAGCTCCTTTCCTCCCCAGCCCCTCTAAAAACCCAGACGGAGGATGCAGGCAAGACTGGCCAGGACACCCAGAGCTATCATAGAGTAGCTGGTTTTCACACTGCTGGCACCGCTGATGTTGCACAACGAAGTCTCGCAGCAGCTGGTAGCGACGCCGGCTATGCCGATATTCAGGTCAATTGTTGGGCAAAATGCTGAACATTTCTTGGTAATACGCTGGTTACGGTCATTGCCTGAAGTGGGAGAGAGAGAAAATAGGAAGAAAAGTCATGTTTTTTTATCTGGGATATCTTTTACAGACTTCAATGATTGACTGGATCCAGTGGGGAATACATTGTTCTGCATTTAATGCTGTCAGTTTTCCCTTGGGCTTCGTCGCGCTACATCATTATTTGTATATATGTGACCTATGGAGACAATCTCCAGGCCTCACGACTCCTCTGCTGTTTTCAGGGCCATCTGAGTGCAACCTAGGGCAAGAATTTGGGAATATAATGCATTTGTACAGTGCAAGATTGCAGGACATCATCGTCACCGTGCCTTGGGATTGCTCCTTCCACAGCACCTGGCCCTTTCCAATTCCACCACCTCATGAGCATACATTTGAGCTTGGAGATGAGGCAAGGGGTTTGTGCAGAGAAATCCTCTCTCCTCCCGTATCTCCCTTTCCTGAGTGAGTTTAATCAGCAGTGCAGTATTGCTATGATATATTGCAACAGAGACGGGTTATGCTGAGTTCCCACCTGCTGCAAGACTTGCTCTCTGTGTGCTATGACCCTCATTAATTCCTCCACCACACCTTACGGTGGGAGGAGGCTTCTGCAGTCAGCATAACCTGAACCCCATCTTATCATCAGAGCCTTAGAAAAGCTTCACACTTACCGAGTCCCGTGGTAGAATAGGTTGTGAGACAGTACTTCTCATGGTCAGAGCACGTGGTTGTACTGAGACAATGTATATTGGAAGATGCGTCTTTGCATGTGAAACATGTCAAGGAGAAAGCTGCAGAAGAAGCACACAACACCCATCAGTCACCTCTAGAAATATCCATAGGAGCACAAAACTGATGGTGCTGGTCCAGATGGAGGATCTCCCAAGCCCGGTGGCCACAGGCAGACACCTTCCTGGATGTATGAAACCTGGCCCTTAGTGACTCTCCAGGACCCAAATTACTTTAAGCTGAGATTCCTGACACTGATGTGGTTTGTTCATTTAGTAACCCTCAAGGGATCTTCCTTCTGGATACTTACTTGAATTCATTTAAACATCTGGCATCTGAAGTGTGCTTTGGGAAAGAGCTCCCCAGCCTACCACCACTTGCAGCATGAAGCTCTTGTGGTTTCTTTCCATCCTGGCTCCCCCAAGCCCCAGATGCTGGCCACTAGTTCTTGTATGGAAAAAGGCCTGATAACATGTATGAAACCTGTATGGAAACAGGCTGATTCCTGTCAACACTCATCCTCTTCAAATCATCTGAAGAGTCCTGGCCTACACATCCTTTCTCAGACCACACACGCCAACAGTGAAGTATTTCAGAAATCTTTTCAAACACAAAGAGGGAGAGATACACCTGAGGGTAACCGCCCTGGCCGTACCAGGCATTATTTTTTTGCTGCATGCCCCTACAACGTATCTCAAATTAGGGACAAGTGACCTAGATCTGCATCTCAGTGTTTGCTGATGATGGATGCTTGCCTTTGGGTTGTTCATTTCCAGAGCTCTCCTGTGCTGGGCAATCCTGTCCCTGTAGAAGACGGGGCTCAGCAAACCACCCCCTTGGCTGCAGCAGACTCCTCTTTACAGCCATCCATGGGCGACGACTGCCTAACACTACAAAACTTGTACATCTGAAACACTGTGCATCAGCAGAGCGCTGTGCTAATATGAATGAATGAAAACCGCTTGCACTCAAGTAAGCAAAAGCAGTCATTCACAGCAAAGAGATCCTTGGGGAAGGTTTCTTTGCATGATAAGAGGGATTTCCTACTCATCTGTTTATCTGGAGCAAACACTCCTGCAGTAATGTCACCCACCAGGGATTAGGCTCATTCTTCTCATTTTCAGGCTATCCCTATCTATGGCCAGTTAATACCCATCTTATTTTTGTACCAGCACTGTCCTTTGCCTTCCTTGCTCTTCGTCTCCCTTGCTCTTCTTCTCCTTTGCCCAAGATTCTTTGTCATTATTAGTGCCTTTGCCAGCAGTGTCCCAACCTCATTGTTGCCCTTGTTTGACCTTAGGCAAGCTCATCTGGCCCAAACAGGCTCTCTGCTCCCTGTCGTCCTACTAGCCCAGACCTGGCCCCACCTCTGACCATGACACCAGGTGACCAAGGTCACTGTATTTCATAGAAAGCCACAAAAATGCCTTTTGGGGCCCTATTCATCCTTCTCTGTCTCTGTGGAAACTGCCTTCTCTCCCCACTCTGGCTAACAGCCCCTTTGCCCTTTCCATGGCCACCCAGCACTGACCATCATTTTCCTCTTGTGGTCTGTCGTCCTCACAGATCCTACTCTCCCTCTGTTGTCTCTCACTGAAGAGCGGCTAGCAGAGGCCACAGAAGCCAGGCAACTGGGCTTGCAGTGTCTCAGATCTCATCTCCTTCTGTTCCCATGCTCAACACCAAAAGCCTCAGACCTGGCACCCAGCTCCCTCTGACTTGATATCAACTGCTGCAATTTGCTTCCTACCTTGGTCATGGTCATTTCCACCTCCAGTCTCTCTTGGCTGTCCTGCCTGGCTCTTGCATTCAGTATCTTCCTGACACTGCAGGCTACCTTATAATTTTTTTCAAGTCTGGGACCCGCCGTTAGACTATCTGCACTCAGAGGGATTCTCTTTTCTTGTGCAAACCCCACACGGGCACGTTTCTGCTCCACCCCACTGGGAACCGTCCTCTCCTCCCATAATAACCGTACACTAGAGCAGAGTCCCCAAACTGGGTTTTCCAGATGTGTAACCCATTTTATTCCTTAATTAATGCAACTTCTTTAATCAAGACCATTCCAAGAAAAAGCTCCTGAATCTCTGCAGGAAACAGTGGAGCTTGTTACACGCCCAAGTCCTGTTTGATCCCAACCTCCCAAAGCTGCTAATTTAAGAGAACCAGTTGTCCTGGGACCCTTCTAGCTAGGGGAGGGGGCAAGCACCTTCAGGGTTGATTTTGCCAACATCTCTCTGTGCTCAGGAGGTTTCTTTCTCACTCACATTTACGACAGAGGACTCTGGAGGCACATGGGCTCCTAACCTGGTAGCTCGGTTAAGACCCTGAAGTCAGGTAGGACAATCTTGATCCTCTGTCCTGGTAAGAACAACAATTGCTCATGCTGCTGAAAAACACTTCTCATTTTATGGCATCTGTTGAGATATCTGCTGTAACAAGGGCTGAGTAAGGGAGGGAACAATATTTCTTTAGAAATGTGCCCCGCTCAGGCTGCCTTTGGAGGTCTCCTGTCTGCACCCAGCAAGCCCTCTGCTGTAGCTGATCAAGAATGTTCCTCAAGGAAGGTTTTCATGTGAATAATTCGAGCCATCCAGATAAACAACTTACACGTGTAAAGCATTAGCAAGTGCCAAGTGCTGGTGGATGCAGGATGTACACCGTTAAAATCAGTCAGGTTCAGGATTAACTGGAACAGCAACCAGCCTTCTGGCTAGATTGCACAGCGAAGCGGTGCTGCGTTTGTGTTAATTTTCACCGACTCCTTTGGTAAGTCTGCTGTCTCATTACATGATCTTTTTAAAAAATGTGATTACAGTTGATAAGCTGCAGGAAAGGGTCCTTTTATTGCCCTCAACTTTCTCAACCCCGTTGAGCACAGTGATTTAGCACATGCCAAGTTTAAAGCCTGTGAAGTCCCACAGTAAGAACATTTACAGGCTCAAATTAAGTATGAGTCTAATTGCTCTGCTAGACCAGGACCAGAATGGCCAGTAATTTGCAGGTAAAGCCCTACGGCAGAGCCTGAGGAAGATTCGGTTTGCAATAAGGCAAAAGCCCCCCCGAGCTGAGGAAGGCAACTATTCCCCTGGAATAGTCAGAGGGATGTTCAGGGCTGCACCCTCTGTTCCTTGCCTGACCCACAGCACACCCCTGTGCAAATGAGGCATCTTCCAGAGGCACAGGCAGCAGTCCTTGCCAGGCAGAGTTAAAGTGCAGGTTCCCAGTGCATCCTTCCCCCCCAAAAAACAGCCAAAAAATCAGAATGAGGATGGGACTCTGCATCTCCATCCCAGACCTGGCAAAGGTGCACCTCAAAGCAACAAGCTGTAAGAAAGAGATGGGAGCCAGTATTGCATCTTGTTGTGGCATGACCACCTCTACCAATTCAGGTAACGATGGTTCATAATTGCAACCAATAAACAAGCAAGTGAAAAAAAAAAACCAAGCTGTCGTTAGTTATATGTCTAACTTGCAGCTTTATTGCCACTTCTCACCACGCTGTCTACACTGAGCCACTCCAAGGGCTGGGCTGGGACTACACGAGTCAGGTGAGGGGGGTATCTCATCCCCCACTTCAACTCTTCACCATCCTTCCAACTTCTGGGGGGGATGCGTCCCCTGGCTTCTTATCCCGAGGACTGGAATATTCTCTAGAGCCTAAAGACCTTCCAGCTTTACCATTCCTGCTGCAAAATCCCCCTGTCATCCTGCAGCGTCCAAGACATGCCCCAGTTCTGGGGGTCTTGCTGCACAAAGCAATCCTTGGAGACTCACCGCTCTCAGTGCACAGGGCTGTGACGAGCACGACAAGAAGAGAAGTCTTCATCCTTTATAGGTCTCGCAGTCTCCAAAACAAGCAGGACTCACCCAGGGCAGGTTTTATACTGCTGCAGTGTTTGCTTTGATGCTAGGGTAATAACTATAGGGTTGCTGTGTCAGATGGTGGATAATTGAGAGTAACATGTCAGCGCTTGTATGTCAAAGTATGCTTTGTTGGAAATCCAAACAGGCTCTCCCCCCTCTTCTTCATTTCCTAGTTGTTTCGCAATTCAGCGTGTTCGTCTGGTGTTAAGTATGCAACAGTTTCTAATTCTGGATAAGTGGAGGAAAAGCAAAACACAAAAACAAAACAGTGTCCACGTGAGAAGAGGAATGTTTTCTTTTCCAGACCAGCTTCGGTTTCAGAGCAGGCTACATCCTTAAAGATCCTGCCCTTGTGCACTGTTTTAGTACATATGGAAGTTGATTAAATTTGAAATTGAAATTGGGATTGGAACTTCTACAAGATGTCTCTCAGGATTGTCAATACAGCTAGATCAGAAGAGCAGTATCCTTCCACTGCATTTCATAGGGGACCAGACATCATCTTCTGTGGGCCTTTTTAAGACAGCATTTCAAAAGCATAAATGTTTCTGTTCTAAAATTGGATATTTTATATGAGGTCAAATGTTCTCTTAGAAAATAAATTCCACTGGGCAATGAAAATGACCACTTAAATTAAAAACCAGAAATAACACCTACCTACATTGAACAAGCTGTGATTTTTTTCACAGAATTACAAAAAATAAATGTCAGGAAGAGAAAAAACAAACCAGTTAAAGCACGAAGAACGAAGGATTGCCTGATCAAAGATCTCAGCTCATTAAGTCTTCAGAAAAAAGAAATTAGAGCCAGCCAAAATTATGTGAAATGCCAAATAAGAGTACTCCACTGGATTTCCATACGATGCTCTTTATTCCTCCTTTTTTATCATGTTTCATCCTGTCTCCCCGTATAAAATCAGAATCTTTCCCATCTTCTTCTGACTGCTGTTGCTTTTTCCTCCCACCGTTGTCTTTCTGCCGTCTAGTTGTGGGGAAGGAGGCACAGTCTCCGAAACAGTCAACTTGGATCCCTTTCACATGACACTCAGAGCTGCACAAGCAACCTGCGTGCCCCAAGCCTCTGCCAGTGACTCTGCCCCTTGCTGCTCTCCATCTGCTTTATTTCCCTTTTTTCTTAGTCTCAAAGTTGCTCAGATTTCCATCTCCCATTAAATATTTGGGCTTTGAATGTGACCCACCTACAGTCATTATCTCACCAAAAAGGCATGCCCAGTTCTTGAGGTGATGTAACTCTTTCCAACACCTCTAAATTGGACGTATAAATATTGTTAATATGGAGACCTGCGTGACTAAGGTGAGGAAATTTTTGCTTTCTCAATAGGTAGAGCATGAAACTCAGTTGGAACAAAGGTGGCAATTAACCAAAAAAGCTCAAAGGAGAGGCGTTGTTTGGCTTCATAAGGCCAATGCCTTTATAAGGCACCAGGCAGGAGGAAAACAGAAGCTGGTACCCTCCATGCCAGGCAGTGCAACCCTCATTTCCTTGTGAAATATTTTATTTTCCCCAGTCCAGAAGAGATTTCATAATTGGTAAATCAACTTTTATTGCTGACTATTTGAGGTAATAGCAGAAAAGGGGGCTCTAGTCACAAGGCAATGCCATTCTGCAGCCCACGTTCAGATTTATTCCAGCCAACAGCATCCATTAACAGGTACAGAAATAGCAGCTCAGCCAGGCACTTCTTTTTTTTTCCCTCCCTTGTAGTCTCATCCAAGCGAAAACTAAAATATCTCTTGTCTCCTGCAAGCTGCCGAGATTTTGAGATGGCAAGGCTCTATTTCTTAAAGGAGTTATTGCAGGAATTATGGTAGTCGAGATTTTCCATTAGATGGTCCTGCACTCTTCCAACTGGTCCCACATGTCACTGATATTAATGTTGTCTTCAACCCTCACCAGTGCCAAGTAAGATAGATTGAAAAAAACTCCTGGGGGCAGAAAGGACATGGATGATTAGGACACCAGAGCAACCAAGGCAAAAGAGAAGATAATATCACAGTTTGCAAGTATTTGGAAGCTATGAAATTCAAGAAGATTTTGGAAAGAGTAACAGGGGATTTAACTGGGGGTGGAGCATGGGGTTGAAAGACCTATTTCCCTTGACGTGGTTGCTGAATGGAGAAGGAAGGAGAATGTTTTGCTCATCTGGCTCTAAACCTGATTGAAATTGTCATACAAGAAGGGCAAATGATTTCTTTATTTTGGTGAAAACATGTAGTTTTCACGAAACAAAATCTGAAATGTAAAAGTAACTGGGAAATTCAGATGTTTTTACTAAATGTGGATTTTCAAGTTGGCCAAAAGCTTTGAGACTCCTTTCAGAGATTATTGTGATTAACATGTAGGAAAACTGATAGGAAAAGTGATTAAAAAGACGTGCAAAAAACCAAGTTTCTGTTGGTCCCTCAACACAGAAATGCTACACCACTACCATTCTTCAGTTAGCCCATCTTGTATTTAAATAAATGCCAGAAATTAAATCTTTATAGGATGACTAAACAACATGACCCATCTTCACAGCCTGTGGCCAGGGCTGCGGTTTCTCCCCATTGCGCAGAAGCTCATACCCTTTGCAGCCTGCCTTAAGGGCTGGTGGAGCAGGACTCCCCTCAAATCCAGCTGGGCTGCAAACATGAGGGCTTTTTTCTGGGTGCCATTTCTATACAAGCCTTCCCAAAATGCAGCACTGCACTTGTAAGCTGCTCAGCTGGGATTCACGCACTCTCCAGCTCCAAAAGTGCATGTATTTTGCCCATCTTCACAGAATCACCGAATCACTAAGGTTGGAAAAGAACTTCAAGATCATCAAGTCCAACCATTAACCCAACGCCACCATGCCCCCTAAACCATGTCCCGAAATCTTAGCTACTTCTTAGCTGTAGCTCCACTCCTCCAGGAGTGAGCGGGTGACCTCCAACCCATTTCCTCCATCCCCAAGACTGGAAATGCAGCAGCGACAGAAGAAAGGGAAGGAGCAGAGACCCTCCCACCAAATCGGACATGCATTGCCTCTACCAGGCTCTTTCTGCCCCTTTCCCCTGTCCTGCAGGGAAGTCATAAGCAATCACTCAGACAGAAGCGTCTTCTCCAAGCAGGCATGGAGGTCCCCTTTCCATGAGGACAGGTTCCAGCAGCACTATCCTCATCTTGAACATCTCCAGGATCTTGGTGTGGTCCCTTTGTCTATTTTAAAAGCGGAAACCATCCACCCTGCAGAGGTCACACGAGGACTTTGCAGCACAGCCGGGAGCACAACCAATACCTGGCAAACCCCCAGTCCTGTGTGTTATCAGCAACAAAACAGTTCTCGCTGTTCCTTCCAATGGGAACATCACAAACATCTTTGACCTTTCCAGACTGACAACTTTATATACATTTTATATAAATAAATCACTGACACCAGTGATTTATTATCACTGAGTGGTCAGGCAGAACATCTGGCTTTATGGAGTGTCTGTCTTGAGCTGCCGGATGCAACCAAGTCAATTGAGAAAGGCAACCAGAAGACTCCCAGGTGCTAAAAAGAGGAATTCAAGGTAACGTAGAGATTCAGACTACAGTTCTTTCTGGCAGAGCTGTTTTTTCAGGCTGATCTTAGTGTGGGTATAGCAAACACACTCTAGAATAACATAAACCTTTATTTGGTCTGACAATTGTTACACACATGCTATCAAAAGAGCTTTCCCAGGGAAAATTAGTACAAAACAACAAATGATACAGGGGAAAAAATAGGAGCTACGCTGCCGTGCCATTCTGTGAATGGGATCTGAAGCGTTGTCATGTGAAAAACAGGGTGGCATACACCCTGTTGGAGACACTTGACAGGCGTGCTGGTTTCTCAGTTGGGGAATACCTTGTAGGTTCTTGTATTGTCTCATCTTCTCCCACCCCTCATCATAATCCCGCCCTGATGACACAGATCAAACTGGCCACAATTCCCAGGAACATCACAGCATAGCTGATTTTTACACTGTTGGCACCACTGAAATTGCACAGGGAGGTACTACAGCATTTGGTGGAATAAGCCGCCACACCAAAGTTCACGTTCGTCTCAGGGCAGTCTACAGAACATTTCTTGGTGATGCGGTGTCCCATGTCCTTGCCTGGATGAAGAATAGACAAGAAAGGAGAGCTGTAATTTAAGATTCTTCTGCAAGAGATGACCAGAGGACGATAGGAGGAGGTATATTGCACTATGCTTAATTTGCAATGCAGCAATAACAGCTATCAGGAGATTTGATGAGTGCTGGGTAAGTATCCACGCAACCTGGATCTAATGCATGACACTAGAAAGTCCTTGATAGAAACCCAATGCTTCCCCTAGGACAGCAAAAAATCACTGCCAATGCATTTTCAGTTTCTAAAACCACGTTACTTACATGCAGCCCCTTTCCATCCTCCATCACAAAGCATGTGTGTAAGGCTCCCAGATCAAGCAACGGGGTCTGCTCATGAAAATCTGTGTGCTTCAACCAGCCCTGCCACAAAGTGGTGAAGAACATATCACAGGCGGTGGATCACAGGGCACCGCTGAGGAATTTACACACATTGTCTTGTGATCCATAAACCTCAGTGATCTGTTCTTTCCAACAAGACCAGCTATTGTCCAAAAAAAACCATTGCCCATCACTTTCTCTGGAGGGGTAAAAAAAAAAAAAAAAGCCTTGAGGTGTTGCTGTTACTCACCAAACCCAGCAGTGCTGTATGTGGTTGTACAGTATTTCTCATGGTCTTCACACTTGTAGGTTTTAAGACAGTTCCAGTTGGAGTGCTCATTGTCGCACGTGTAGCAAAACAGCGAGGAAGCTGGAAAAAGCACACATGACACATATTAGTGGTTTCCAGCAATGGCCTCCTGGGAAGAAAGTGTCAAAAGCCATGTCCTTTCTTGGAAAATACAAGGTGAAAAGTATGTTACGAATAAGTTTTCATGACAAGTGAAATACGAAGTTGGTTTTGATTAATGAAGCTGAAAAAAGCAAACAAACAGAACAAAACAAGTTTTCTTTCTTTACTTGAGGTTTTCAGCGATTAAACCTGAAAAGACATTTTTTCAGCCTGAGCAGCACTCTCAGGTGA